ATTTTGATCAAGTCATCGACCTCATCAATGCAAGATCAACTACTGCACTCAATCATAAATTTATTATAAGACATAAAGATTTTTGTATATATTTTAATAAAATTATGTACTTTCTCTCCCTTTTCCTCTTTTTCTCTTTCCCTCTTTTTTTTTCTCTCTTTTTTTTCTCTCTCTCTTTATCTATCTATCTCTTCTTTCAAATATATATTATATATATTGGCCATTAATTTTTTTCAGGCAACACCACTAGCCATCAACACTAAACACATGTTGCAACCATTCTCTGGCTGGTAGCAGATTACTGTTAAAAATTCTTCAACACATTTACACACGCACACACACACACACACACACACACACACACACACACACACACATAGGCACACACACATACACATACACCCTTAGATAAATAAATTCATATGTATAAATCAGCGTAATGTTTTCTCGTACAAATAAGTACGTACGGGTGTGTGTGTGTCGTGTGTGTGTCGTGTGTGTGTGAGTCGTGCGTGTCTGCCACACACGTAATAGAAACGATAAAATTGATTTCATTTTGCTAATAATTGCATCATATTCACTTTTCTTTTCCAACTTCTTTTCATACCCTCTTTTTTCTTGCTCTCTCTTTCTTTATTTCTTTATTTCTTTCTTGCTCTCTTTCTTTTCTTTCTTCTTCCTTTTTTTTCCTTTCATCTTTTATTCATTTTTCATCCATTCTTACATGATTTAGAGCGGACTTTAGCTGATGTATACGGCGGTACATTTTTTCGCAAGAATTAGCAGCAGTTTTGTGGCTCCCGGACGTTTGCACAGCCGTCGTTGAACGCGCGTGCGTACTGCGTATTTTTACATACTTTACATGCACCCATGTTTATTTTAATTTTTTATAACATACTTTTTATTTATAATCGTCATCGCTTCTTTCTGGAAATTTGGTTTTTTTTCTCTCTTTGAAAAATTCGTTAATCTTTCTTACTTCTTATCGCGTCAATCCCACTATGAACCCACGCACGGCACTGTCATAGATAAGTCTCAGGCAGACTTTTAGACAAAAAAACTAGACAAAACTATACAGAAATATACAAAAAGATAGAAAGATATACAAAAGTATACAAATATACACAAGACTTAGTACACGGTATAGTGTGAGGTATGATAACAATGCTTGTTCTATCTCCAATACAATATCTGCCCTTATATTAATTAATACACATAATATCATTATTTCGAATATATAATTCAGTATTTTGGATATTGCACAAGATCTAATTGAAAAAAAAGTAAATTTTTGTGGGTGAATATATTAGTAGATAATATTTTGATTTCAGAGAAACGCCATTCATTCAATGTCTGACGCAAAAGAAAAATTTTATAAACTTTAAAAACTTAAAACTCTATGTTGTAAAAATTAACTAGATGGCAAGCATTTCAGCACCAACACGCACACGCACGTACGCACACAAAAACAACCAACAGCGCATAAAGACAGAGCATCTTCAATTAAAATACCTCAAGAATCCGGTAATAACTTAGTCACCTCAATAGGCAGAACACATTAAGGTAGAATACAACCTGTGTTGTATACGGTAACACAATTGCCATAAACTAACGTGATACACACTCATACATACACACATACATACATACATACACACACACATACATACACATATACATACATACATAAACACGCACACACATACAAGCATACACACACGCAAACATAAATACTGCGCATACAATTACGTATGAAATATGAATGAAGTTAGACGCATAAACATCATCTGAGAAACTTTTTAATAGAAAAAAATCTATATTACTCACCTTGTATGTTTTGTATATACAAAGATATACAAACATTTCTAATACATACAAAAAATGTACAAACATACAAACGTGTTTGTGTATGGGGAGTACATATACGTACATGAGTGTGCATCTTGTACATGATGCACCTATATACTACAATCATAGGTATTTGTGTACGAATAATTAAGACAAAAGTGATAGCATGATATATAAAATGATAGCATAATACAAATCGATGATACCGTGATACAATTCTAGTACACATTTATTGTACGTATACTTTTGTATGCGTTTCCTATGAGTAATGATAATGAACTCGCTGAATCTGGTAGGAGCATTTTTCATGAATTTATCGGGCCGAGGGACATTAAAATTTACAGGCAACCTTATTGTGATTGAATTTAATACAATGCCTGCTGTTATCTGCTCGTAGCATTTTAAGTTCGTTTGTTATTATCCGTCTGTCTGTCTGTCTGTTTGTTCCACTGTGTGTCAGTCTGTCGGTCTCTAGGTATGTGTGCGTGTTGTGTGTGTTGTGTGTGTGTTGAGTGTGTGGGTGTATATTTGTGTGTGTATGTTTTTGTTTATGTATTGTTGTTATATATGATGATGCATATTTTTATGTGTTTGTCCAAACATATTTTCACTTCACTTTTTGTTTTTATTTACCAGCGTTTTTGGACGTGCA